CCCTCCCTCCCTCCCTCTCTTATTCCTTCCTTCCTTCCTTCTTTCCTTCCTTCCTTCCTTTGTTCCTTCCTTCCATTTTTCCTTCCTTTCTTCTTTTTCTTTCTCCTCCCTTCCTTTTTTCTTTCCTTTCTTCTTTTTCTCCCTCTCTCCCTCCTTCCTTCCCTCCCTCCCTCCCTCTCTTATTCCTTCCTTCCTTCCTTCTTTCCTTCCTTCCTTCCTTTCCCCAAAAGCACACACCAGTACTTAAAGCAAGTATTTTTGAGGGAGGTTTTAAACAGGGCCTTCTGGGGATGAGAGGCACCGGATCTCAGCAAAACAAGATAAAATGGGAGATGAGTCTGAATTTTCAAGCTGAGAGAGAGCCACGAGATGCTTTGTGCCTGGCCTCAATAAAAGACGCCACCTCCTGTCAGTGTTGAGTTGACTTCCTTTGAAATAAAAGATTCTCTCTTTTCAGATCAGCAAAGCCCTGGAATTCTTAATGACGCAGCAGCGGGAATTGTCAGATACGGGAGAAAACGTCTCTCAAGTGCAGCAAAGACTCTCGGAGTTGGGTAACTTGGAGCAATCCGCACAGGTGAGTTGCCATGGAAAACAGCCTCATGAATATGGACCAGCCTCTCCTCCTGGTTGAGAAAGGATGCTCTTTGCTTAACATTATCTTTGATAAAGAGAAACACACACACACCCCCGCAAAGATTGGAGAAGGGTATTATGGGATGCCAATGAGAAGCCCCAAGAGAGGTGGGTTTTCATGAACTTGGAAAGATTCCCCTTTTAAGGGATTAAAGTAATCATATGGACCTTTTCTGACTTTCTTCTGGGAGAAAAACAACCCATTTCATTTTGGGTTCCTTGACTGGAACCCTGTTTAGGGAGAAAACCTAACTGGTTCTAGAGGTTCTGCCAGGCCCAACTTGGTTGCTACTTGAATTGGAGACCACCGTAGAATCTCAGAGCAGTTGGCTTCATTGGGAGGTGGTCTCAGGAGAAGATAGTGGCCAACCGCTATAGTTTTTGTAGTCAAGAAATTAAAGATCCAGGAGTTGAATGTGGCTCCTTTGACAACATGATTTTGAGAAGGTGCAATAATAAAACGTTTTGGAGGCCACATGGCCTTCATCTCAGGTGAAAGCAACCCAAAGATTAAAGCAATCCACGTGCGGATGGAGAGAATAAAGATTGCAAAGTCTTAATGTATAAGAGAAGGGACGCAGTGGCTCAGTGGCTCAGTTGTCGATCAAAGAGGTCAGAGGTTTGGGGGTTCGAATCCCCAGCACCTCGTAATGGAGTGAGCTCCCGTTACTTATCCCAGCTTCTGCCAACCTAGCAGTTTGAAAGCACATAAAAAATAGGGACCACCTTTGGTAACAGCGCTCCGTGCGCCTTCATTATTGAGTCCTGCTGGCCACATGACCATGGAGATACCTTCAGACAGCGCTGGCTCTTCGGTTTTGAAATGGAGATGAGCTCTGCCCCCTAGAGTCAGGAACAACTAGCACATATGTGCGAGGGGAACCTTTTCCTTTTCCTTTTATGTTATAAGAAGTGTCAGAAAGGGGATTGAGAAAGGAAGAGGTGAAAGTTTTAGGAGGTGACCTTGGCCTCGTGGTTTTGACATAACTCCATCCTGTTCCCCTCTCCCGCTGCCTTGGTCTTCAAAAGGACTTAACGGCAAAAGCGCACATGGCGATTCTTCACGGGCACCAAATGGCAGCCAGCCACCATTATGCCCTCAACCTGATTTGCCAGCAGTGCAACGAACTGCGCCACCACTCGGACACCTTGCTAGAAGAAATCAAAAGGAAAAACAACAGGCTCCAGCAAACGTTGGATCTCCTCACTTCTCTTCAGCAGGTAAGCCAAGGATGTAGATGCAGGAAGTCATTGCTTCAATCACCTGTGTCTTCCTCAGTAGGAGATGGTGGAGATGCTGGGGGTTTTTTCCCCTGTTAACGACCCTGTAATCCCTTGTGGGGTGGAGTCGGGGCAACTGAATGAAGCTGAGTGTTGAGTGGCCAGATGCCTTTCCCTGTCGCCAATGCGGAGTTTTGTTCAGCAGATATATTCTCATTGTGCCCAGAGAGAGAAATATCTGCCTCTGCCTAGGATCGAACTCACCTCCACCTGATTGTGAGGCAAGAACTCCACCTCTAGGCCACCCCACAGTGGAGATGCTGATGGAGATGGGATTGTTGTTTGGGGCTTCCTGATTTACTCATAGATCTTCTTTATCCACCTTGCCTCTCTTGTTAGGCCCTCGAATGTTGTGATGAAGGTGTGTATCTTCTAGCCAACCAGCCACTGGACAAATGCCAGTCCCGGGAAGGGGCTCAGAAAGCTCTCCAAGACATAGAGAAGTTCCTCGAGAGCTCTTCGCTGCATTTAAACATCGATCCTCAAGCCCTGTCTTCTAGTTTTCATCTCATCTTAACACCGGAACTCAAGGTATATCTAGAGGTTCTCTCACACAGGAGGAGTAACTTCTCACACAAATGAAACTTAGGCGCAAGCCGGCTGCCTCCCATGGAGAGATTGGCATTCCTGAGTTAGACTGAAAGCACCCAACTCAGCCGACCGGGGTGTTAAACTCGATGGCCTTGATTTAAGATAATGGTAGTTCCCACGTGGAGCAACTTCAACATAGTGGAGACTCTGGAAAGAGTGCAGAGAAGAGCAGCAAAGATGATTAGGGGACTGGAGGCTAAAACGTATGAAGAACAGTTGCAGGAACTGGGTATGTCTAGTTTAATAAAAAGAAGGACCAGAGGAGACATGATAGCAGTGTTCCAATATCTCAGGGGCTGCCACAAAGAAGAGGGAGTCAAGCT